CACACTTGTGAGTTCAAACAATAACAGATTGTCCACTGTGCTGCAAAGAAAATAGCCAATAGCCTCCAGTGCAAAACACACATTGAAAAGAGGTTGGCGGTGATTACTGCCGCCGTAAGCTGTGCGTGGTCGTTCCAACAGCAGTGTTTGCTGATCGACAATCACACATCTTCAAAGTTTCTCAGCAACAGCACAACACTGTACAACTGTACAATCACTGATAGATCACCAGCAGCGGATCGATGCTTGCACTCATCATCCCCTTGTTCGTGATTGCCAATCCATCACCATCTCGGTGCGGGGCCATCCTCATCTTCATCTTTATTACTGATAATAGCTTGCTTGCTGCTTGGTAATTGCCAGCTAGTGCCTTGTCCTTGAACAGTAACGGTAATCAATATGGTCATTTCAGCGGCTTTTTATTTGCATTGATCAAAAGTACGTCACTGTAAAAATAAATAAATAAAATGTGGATTATCATTGCGTGTGCACCACTCGTTGAGTATTATAAAAACGTAGATTCTTAGTCTTAGGATGATTATTTTTAGTCGGCATTGAGTATTTCCACTCGGTGGTACCATTCATTGTTTGCTCATTCAAACATGTTCTTCTCAATAAAGTTCTTCAGATGAAGCAGCTCAAGCAGCGTGGCATGTGACCAGGCCTGAATGGTGCAACTGTGATGGCAGTGAGAGCCATTGGAGTTTGTCAGCTCAGGCAGACCGAACCACTCGCTCTGAGAGAGGTGTTCAAAGTGCGTGGCCAGCAACTGGTTTATTTGAACTATTTCATGTGTATGCTCGACGTGAAACTTCAGTCGAGCCATAAAGTAGAAACCGGTGGGCCAAAGCCATTCCTACAAAAAATGAATAAAAATGTCGGTTACTATCAGTTACAAAACACAACTCGCATCTTACCGGTCCATTGTGATAGTTGAAACCATTGGCCACTGTGTAGTCATTGGAGTCGTTGCTGTTGTCGTAGTCACCTCGATAGTTCCAATCACTTCAAAAAAGTCAAAATTAATATCCATTATACAAGAAATACCCAAAAAAGCATACCTCGGATCAAGCGTCTTCATTCCCAGTGGACCGCGCAAATGCTGCTCTGCCATCTCCAACGCCTCAAGTGCATGTTGGCGGTCAAAAAGTTCATGGGCTACACACATGGCCACAAGAAAGTTAGGTCGCAGCTGAAAGTCCATCCACTGCTTCGATGCGCCGACCGTGTCCTTGTAGATGTGCCGTCGATTGATCAGCTTGTTCTCCGTCTTCTCGCCAATATAAAAGTTGCTCTCAAAACTGCTCTGAATCTTCTCTGCCCACTGGCTAAAGGTGAGCGACTCGAGAACGGCGCCCGAAGCATCACACCTCTTCACGCCCTCATACGGATAGTGACCTCGCTGGTGCAGCTCAGAAAGAAAGGTGACCACCGACTTGCAGAGGGCGACAATCTCCACTGGAGAGCCGTCTCTGGGCGTCGCCGGGTGGCCTCGATTGCCCGCCTTATCCGAAGAGCCCATCTTGTCCATCCACGTGCCGCAGTTCCACTGATTGCCACCGTAGACAAATCCCGTCAGTCGATCGACGCCCACCTTAATGTGAAAGCCCTCCGAGGTCATATGCGCGTCAATTTGGGTGCCTGCATTGCGCTCGATAAAGTCAATGCCAGCAAAGTGTCGATCCAGTGCCTGCTGAACGGTGTCATGCAGTGGCTCCAAAACAGTGTCCGCCGTCTCCTCGTCGCCCATCTGCGCTGGCGAGTTGTCGGTGGGAAAGATGCGGCGCACCTTCTCCATAAGAATGTCCTCCCCGCCGCCTGGCACCGTGTGAATGTAGTCCTTGATGGACTGAAGCCACCACCAGACAGCGTCACGGCAGTTGTAGCGCGAATTTCGCCCGCCGTCGAGCAGGTTGGGAATGAGGCCGTGGCGAAGTGTGCCCGCAAAGCCGAGAATGATCACCTTGGCAATGTCAAACTGACCGGTGAGCAGTGTCAGTCCCTTCAGGGCGATAAATGTGTCTCGGCCCCAGTTGCGCATGTACCCGGAGGCAAAGTGCGGCAGGCCGGCGGCCATGGTGGGCAACTTCGGACCGGCGTAGGCAGACAGACTCTTCGGAATGGACGCCTTGGCCAGCGGAGGCAGTGGTGAGGGCGAGTGTGAGCCAATGAGCGCGTAACCACCCAGAGCAAGTCGCTGCACAAAGTTATCTCCTTGGTTGACAAAGTCAGAGGAGAGTGACCAGACTTGGTCGAGAAGGCGCGTGTAGAGTGGCAGGAGAATAGAGTCAAAGTACCGTGGAATCAAGTACCGAGGCAGGCTGGACAGCTCAGTGAACACCTTCTCCAGCCAGAGGGCCAACTTTTCAGTGGAAGGTCGACGCTTCAAACGGGCTACAATGTAGTCAGCTAGCCAGGGACCTTCACGAAGGTTTCCACAGAGAGGGTGGCCTAAACCAAAAGGAAGGTAACATTGTGTCAATCAACAAGCTTGGTTTTGCACACTCTAAACATACCCAAATCATTGTGAGTACGAATTTTGGCAAGGTGAAACATGACACCGGCAAGACCGCAGTAGACAAAAGGTCCAGATGAGATGGTGTAGACGCCATTCCCGCTTTCGTCCATCTCCTCTTGATTTGATCGAAAGAGCACATAGTTTAGGTCAATGAGATCGAGCTGCTGTACAATGGCGTTAATGTCACTCTTCTCTTCATCGTACTGCTCAATGGAGCGGCAAATCGCCTCCAGAGCCTGACTCTGACTGTCCAGCAGGCTGAAACTGATGGCCACCACTGACGAGGGTGGAAAGTTCTTGAAGTGGATCACATTTGTTGCCCCTTCAACTTGCAGACTGATCATCTCACTCTGGTTTGGCTCAAGCATCGCCTTCACCTGGTTGGCCATCTTCTGGTAGCCGTTGATGACAAGGCCATCCTTCACAAATGCTTCATCAGGCTGACCAGCAATTTTCATCTCAAAGAGAATCTTCTCAAACTTTCCCTCAATTTTCAGCGGCTCCAGGTGCGAGGCGTAGCCTTGATGGAGCGGATGAAAGGCCGTTCTGGCCGCCAAAATGACCGATTGGTGCGTCTTTGGGTTGTGTCGAGTGACGACCACAGTGTCTCGGTCTCGCTGATCAACAAAAGCCTGTGAGAAGCCGTGGCTGCCGAGAAAGTGGTGCAGGTGGTTGAGCATCTGCTTGCCCTTGATGATGCCAGTCGATTCGTTGACGCCGGTCGNCGTGTCCCGGTCTCGCTGATCAACAAAAGCCTGTGAGAAGCCATGGCTGCCAAGAAAGTGGTGCAGGTGGTTGAGCATCTGCTTGCCCTTAATGATGCCAGTCGATTCGTTGACGCCGGTCGATGGAGTGGCACTGTTGCCTCCTTTTTCATTCCACCCGCTGTACTGGCGCTCTTCGTTGACGACGTGAATGTGATGGGGCACCAGTTCGTCGAGTCCTCGATTGGAGCCCACGGCAGAGTAGGTCATGGCGACCAGAGCAGAGGAGGCGAGAGGGTCAAACGCCGTTCGGCGGACAATGGGCGACTCATTGTCGTGCGTCAGATCAAAGAAGATGGCGTGAGCCACTGTGGGCACAAAGGGACGCAGGTAAAGGGGAGCACACTTTCCATTGTCATCACTAGGACACTTGGTGTTGTCTGGTGGAAAGGCGTAAAGGTTAGAACAAAAGAAGAAAACAAACTAAATCAAATACCTGGCAAAAATGAGCCCACCGGTTCCCCGCCGTACCGATAGACCTGTCGACCGAGCTCAAAGGAAGAGGGCGCCGACATGGCCTCGCGAATCAGCGAAATAATGCCCAGTTTGTTCACAAAGATGTTGTCAATGTCCTCACTGGCAGTGAAAAGTTCGGCGATGAGGTAAAGGTCAGGGTTGACACGGCGGGCAGCGTCCAGCACGTACTTGGCTACGTGAATCGGCGTAGAATGGCAATTGTCGAGGCGTAGGCCCTGAAAGGTGGAAGCCATCTGGGTGACGTACTGCTCCATAAATGACCAGAGAAAGGGCGAGTCTTCGGGCTTTAGGCCGTAGCGCAGCTTCACAGAGTCGCCCCAGCAGACGAGCTCTCGGCGCAGGTACACCCAAGAGTCAGCGTCGGCAAAGTTGCGCAACGGATCATCGCCCATGACCCAGCCATTGTGGGCCATGTAGAAGGACGATTTGCTGTCGTCGAAAAGCGACTCTTCAATCTGAATAAGATCTAAAAATAGATTGTTAGTTGAAAATGAATTTGCTTAAAAATAACAAGATTAGTACCTTTGTTGTGATGGCCATTGATCTCATCGGTAAAGTACTGCGTGGCAAGTGGGGTTTTCCTAGTCACTTTGGGCACTTTTGGTCCGCAACTGTCCAGTCGTTCGTAGCGAGCACCTTTGATGACATTCTCCACTGCACTGGCCAAGTGGTCTTTAATGGTGCTCCGAACGCGGTCATTCTGCTCCTTGAGCACCTTCTCCAGGTGCAGCAGTGCAAAGTTAATCCACCGACCAAGTGCTTCTCGGTCATCGGGCTCGCCGACGTACTTGACATCGGTGATGATGGCATGCAGAGCACTGCTAAAGTCGATGCTGGAGCCAAATCGACGATACTGAGCATCCTGGACTAGTTCAATTTTACCTCCTTTTGAGGGAAACACACTGGCAGGATGCTGCACAATTGGTGCATCATCGAGATTGCCCTTCTTTGCATCGCTTCCGTAGATGAAGCAAATGAGGTGGTGCTCAAACTGCTCAATGAGCGCACTCTCATCGCACAGATAGAACTCCTCAAGCTTTACCATGGGAAGATACTCTGCGGTGAAGAGCCGTCGAGCAGTGTCCAGGTGCTGTTCAGTGTTGACCACCGTCGTCAGGCCCTGGTCACTCCATCGACCGTCTTCAATGTCCAGCGTAAGATGCCAGAAAAGGCGGTCCAGGAGAAAGGCAGGTCGCAGCCAGGGCGCATTGGAGCAGTTGTAGGCAGCCTCAGGGTGCTCCGTCAGCCAGACGCTCTCGTTGGCGGTGTGATTGAGGACGATATCAGTGATTGACAGGACGCCGAGTTCAGTGCGCAGCTCGTCAACGACAGTGGCAATGTCAGCCAGCGAACAGTCACGACCACCCTCAATCATGGCGGCTGAGCGAAAGGAGGGATTGATACGGTGCTGATTGGCGAGCGAGTACGCAGAGCGAGAGCTGCCCAGCTCCTGAATAGGCGTCCAGTGGATCATGTTGTAGCCACTCTCGATGGAGACCTGAAACAGTAATACAGGTGTTTTTGTACAATGCACAGAAACAATTTTTTCGCATCTCATACCTTGAGTTTCTCCGGCCACGTATCTATGGAGCCCATGCATTTCGACAGCACCGTTTGACATTGAATGGCATTGACAGAGAGTGTTTCCGCCTTCTTCTGTTTGCTGTTGGCACCGCCGTAGATGGTCAACTCGGGATTGACGACAATGTAAAAGGAGCCTAGTACGGCTTTTGGGCGATTCTTTTCAGTGTAGTAAAAGTGAAATGAACCAGAAGAGAGAAGCTGAAGTACGTTGTGAGCATCGCTGATGGGCACCTCGCTGTAGGTTTCTCTGTTAGCGGAAAAAAATGGTGTCATCAATTGTCACCGCTTAATTAACAGGAGCTTACCTTTTAAATTGAGTATAGTCATCTGAGTAGTTGGTGAGCAGTGTCACCGAGCGGCCGTAAAGCGAGGGGGCAAGGTGAAAGCGAACTCGATTGTACTTGGCACAGCGAAAGAGCTTCGACTTGTTGAAGGCATTCAACTCCAGACTGTACACCAGCACCAGCTGGTCATTGGCGATGCCGTGCTGACCTAGTTCGGTCTCCGCTTCAGCAGTTGAAGTCAACAGATGCGAGCGCAGAAGATTCTTCATGTTGACGTTGGTGATGGTGTTACTGTTGGTGGCTGTGATGTTGTCATTCGCTGCTGCAGTCTGGATGACACCGTCTGCTGCTGTTACTACTGATCGCTTCACGCTGTCATCAGTGGCAGCCGCAGCAGCAGCAGCAGCCGCAGCAGCAGCAGCATCCTCGATATCCTCTTCAGGCATGGTAGTGCAGCAGTCACACAAGATAAAGCACTTTGCGAAGAGAAGCGATACGAAGACACGTTTAAAAATAGAGAGAAAACAGGAGGCGACGTTAGTGCTGGCAGTGGCAATCCACGAAGACGACGGTGGTGATGATGATGAGGCTGAAGACTGAAGCGAAACGGTGTCTGCAACATCATCTGCTTCGTCGGCTGGAGCGTTGTCGTGCCTGTTGTCGTTTTCTTCCTTGCCGGCGCCGTCGTCGTTGATTTCAGCGGTTGCGGCATTTCGGGTACTACTGCTAGTGGAAGTCATCTCAATGTCGTCAGTAACAGGCGCCATAAAACAGAGAGGCTGGCTAAGTGGTCTGCTGGTGCCTGCTGGAACCAGACTACTACTCCCGGTCGACTCTTATATAGCATCTGGTGGTGGCGGTGGTGGTCACTATCAGCGGCACTGTGATGCGGCGGCAAAACCTGCCTCATACCGGTGAAACTTTTGGCACTGACAGTTCGAGGCGCCATGTGACTGCCACGAGGCGAGCCATGGACTCAATCAGGCCATCAACGTGCACTTGACTCGCCGCCACTGATCGATCGTTGAACCTGATTATCCCACCAGCAGCATCGGCAGTTCCTAATCTGTCCATCACCTGTTTTCACCAAAGGCGTGTGAATGCAACTTACCCTTTAGAAGATGTTTTCTGTTTCTTTCTATAAAGATCAAATATCATCAAGTAAATGTTCAAGTTTAGCTTTTGCTGCTTTTGGCACTTGAAACATAAACATTGGCGCTTTATGCATTGGACGATAGCTGGCACCACTGATATTGATTGAGGAACTGAAATTATTCAAAGTTAGATTTTCAAATTGATAAAATCTAAACTGAATGAAGGTCAAGATAAGACAAAAGAAAAGTTTCAAAAAGCATTTCAATTTCATCTATCTAACTTCATCATATTACTAGTTCAGTTATGCAAACATGACCTTCCTTTAGCATGAAAATCACCGCTGTCCACTTTTGACCGTTGTACCATTTCCCACAGCATACTCTTTTCTCCCCTAATCTCCCCGTTTTGAGAGTTTCTCTTAACAGTACCGACACAGTTATTATTGTTTGATACCACACCGTACACTGTACGCCTTCATTGAGCTCTTAGAGTCAATATTGACTAAGACAGTGCAGTCACATAATATAAATCGCTTCCGATCTCACCAACTTGTCGGTTGGCTTTAGCAGTAAAAAGAAACAATAATAATAACAAACAACCCACATTCAACATGTACGACATCAACACTTTGCTTCGCCTGAACCTAAATTGGGCGCCATTCAACGGACGCCTGGCAGAGTGAATCCAACGGCCGTGGGTAAACGGTTGTTTACTGGTCGCAGGTGATGATAAGAAACTACCGTACATTTGCCCTCCATTGATGGACCGTTTTTTGGTGGGAACCAAATGCAGAGAAGAAACAAAATTGTTTGGCGCCACCAAGATGACGACAACATGTCGTACTGTCAACAATTGAAACACATTGCACTTGTACTCTTTAACAACGACCTGTTGAATTTGCTTGTTGAGGCGAGCCGAGCTGACAACGTCATCAGTTGGCTGAAGTTATGATAATGATAATGATGATGATTCTATCAGCGGGTAATAAATTCATCTGAGTTGGAATTTTACATTGACTGACCTCGTCGATTCAAGAGAATGACCAGATTCGCCTCCTGTCACCTCACTTGGCACTAAATCACTCTCTGCCCCTCTCCGTTTACCCAACAGTAGTAGCCCAAGAGGGAGCCATGACCAGAGGCCGGCACAACCAGAGAGGGCTTCACAAACAAAAATGAAGACGTGCACAGAAAGAGGGAGAGTGAGAGGGAGCAAAGGCGCAGGAGCACACAAAGTCGGCGTCTTCGGCGCCTCCTGTCAATATTTGCCTTTACCACGGTGGCGACATGTGTTGCTCGTCCTGGCTCCTCTTTACTACCCTTCATCGAGTAATCACAGAGCGACATGACCACCAAAGTGACTCTTCGCCTCTTCCCAGTCGCCTCCTAACAGCTCAATCATTACCTACTCATATCTCATTGCATCGACATGCTCATTAATCAGCAACCATTTGTCGTACACTTATTGTGAGGGCCTCTCTCATAGATAGATGGAAAGACTGCTGATCGGTGCAAAGGAAAGAGACCACAGGCAGCAGGTAGCATCGGCAAACTTGGAGAGAAAGTGAAGAAGAAGGAGGAGGACAGACGGCCTTCAGCCTTGCCTTGCGTGCCAAGAGGCCGTCGCGCGTGTTTGCCCGCGAAGAGAAGGGGCAATTAAACTAACTAACTTTGCGGCAGATCTTTTTGTTTGATTCTCAGCATCGAACTTTACAGGCTTGGTGAGGTCACACACAGGCTGAATTTACTACCTGGCAGTCAATCGCAACTAGACATCGGCCCATCAAACTTTGCCACTAAAGTACTTTCTCACCAAGTGCTCTTTGTGGCACTTTCACAGGCAGGCCAATTACAGGGAAAAACTCGAGAAAAAAGAACACGTGTTTTTGCGGGTACGGAGTTTGTTAGTTTTTAGACAAGACAACTAGGACAAGTAATTTTTTTTACAAAATCTAGATGAACATAAATTCAAAAATGTAAAGTTTTGTGAATGAAAAAAATGCAGTGCTCTAAAATAGGCTTACAAGAGAACAGTCGTCAGTGAGGTTAGTGGATCAGATGCGCCTGCTGCTTTTACCGCTGACACGTAGCGGCACTTGCTGCCCACCTTTTTGTTACTTCTTTCTTTGTCCCTCTTCAGGTGATGACCTTCTTGGGCCACGCGTCTGCTGGGTCTGCAATTGACTGCCACCATCACCATCATCCAAAGTGAATAGAAAGCAATAAAGAAAGATGACGCGTGGCAGGCGACAGAGCTGCCTGTTGAATTGAGTGCAGCTGCTCGACCAGGTAAATGCAATCAGCGATGTCAGTTTGCTTTTCAATCGGCATCTCTCTTTCTCTCTCCCGAGTATTCCCCTCAACGGCCTGAATGCCTCTGCAGTAGCACGACCCCTCGCCGTCTCGGGCCTCGTGTGTGTTACGTAAATAAAGGTGCTCCAAAGCGACTACTAAAGATGTGAATAGAGAGCAGACGACTGAGCAAAGGAATGCAGCAGTCTTGTGAGCATTAGGAAGCCGGAAATCTGAGAGCAATCATATGCAAGCTCCAGCTCTGCCACACTGTTCAGCAATCAGCGCAGTTCATCTCGAGTGGAGCCACACACACCGCGAACGACAAACCGTTTCCGGTGAAAAGTTTTGCTAAGCTGTCGCAAAAGGATTCGGCATTGCCACTGTAGTACTACCACTGGTGGCGATGACAGGGTTGGGCTGAGGGCGATCACACGCGGCAGTGTGGCTCGTCTGAACAATGGACGCACTAATTGCCGACAATGGACGCCCAGGATTGGCAATCAGATGTGCTGCTACCTCTGGTGATGCAGTTTATAGACTCAGTGGCATCAATGGCCGCTCAAGGCGGCCAATGGCATGGAACTAATCGAGTGATGAGGCCCTCTGCTTAGATCTGCCAAATTGAATTAGAAGGCATCACACGTTCTCACACACACTGCTCACAAGTCTCCATTCCCACAGCTCCCTTTCCAGAGAATCGCCTCTCCATCACTTGAGATAGAGGGAGGGGAGGACTCTCAGCAGCTAATCACATCACATCCTGTCCAGCGAGGCGTTGCATCGGAGCAGCAGCAGGTTTCGCGCCACGTCCCAAAGTGACCTTTGTTCGCTCATGTGTCCTTGTCGCTGCGGCAATGCAATGCTTCTCCTTGCGTGACTTTCTCTTTCTCTCCTTTTGATTACTCGAGCCCAACTTTGCTGACTTTGCAGGGGCATCACTAAAATTCCAGAATTACCCAGTGCAGTGAGGGCGACCAAAGTGCAGGCAGACAGAAGCTGGTGCCTGTTTGCCGCCAAAACAACGCCTGTGTTCTGGAGCGCCTGCCGCGTTACGTAATTCAGAACAGCAGCGAAAGTGTGTGGAGCCAGTCAGCGAGGACCATTGAACTCGTTGAGCCGTTGACGCCACCCAACTGTCTGCTCGGGCCACAGTGGATCAGGCAGTAGCAGCGGCAGCCGAAGCAGTGGTCGCCATCGAATCGAAACAGTGTCTTTCAGTGTGGCTACGCGTGCTCAGTTCGAAGTGCAGGCCGATTTGGCGGGCAAACAGGGAAAGCACAGGCAGAGTAGGAGAGTGGCAGACAGACAGAGTGACAGGCACAGCTGTGCTCCTCTCTCTCTCCACTCTGTTGCTGCACTCACAATCCTCCTCACCACGCCAGAGCACTCGCACATTGCAAAACAACGCTGCCAGTGAAGAAGCCGGTCCTGTGGGATACACTGGTATAAACATCAGACAGACTGACTTGCAGTGATAACTGTATCCTCGTCGACTGGTCTACCAGTTACCGTCAACACTGCCATCACCCGCTGCTGCTGTCATCAACCGGTGCAGGCGATGGTGACAGAGACCGACGCATCAAAACAACCCAAAAAAGTCCTCGCCGCCGAGTCTACCTGAGCGGCCCGAGAGCACTGTTTTTCTATTTCTCTAACTTTCCTTCAACCAGCGCATGTCTTCGAAAAATCAAGGCCACTTTCTTAACCAAACAACCTCATCATCCTTTCTAATTTGGTAAGTTCGCTTTTGCTTTTCCTTATTTCAGTTTCTTTTCACCAGTTTCAACAAGTTGTTAAGAGATTCTAGCTGGTGAAAGTGGTAGAAGTTAGAAGAGTCCTTGAAAGTAATTACAAAACGACTCTAAACTTGTATGATTAAGTAGGATTTGAGCTCAATTTCAACTTCCACTTCACGTATCTCTAAGATAACGACCATTCGGCATCGTTAGGTGCATCTTAGAAGGCTGACGGGCAAAGTCCGCTCAAAGGGTTGAGGACTGGCTGGCCACGTTATGCCTGGATGTCCATGTCAATTAGCTCTTCCTCTAGTTCACTCT